CGCTACAATAACATAAAATAATTTTGCTACCTCAAATCATATGCAGATGGCACTTCATTGGCAGATTGCGTGAGGAATGAGTCATCTGTCAATGGCATAAATTGGCATGCTCGAGTTAAATGACAAAATTATTGAAGTGCAATATATATATATATATATATATATATATATATATATATATATATATATACGTATAGTAAAACGACAGGCTCCATATTTAGAAAGATCTTCATTAAAAAGTTTCATCCTTAAACATTAAAATCGCTTCGCATTAAAATCGTTTATCCGCAGTAAAATGCCCTATTTTTCTCGATATTTTTACAGCTGTCTTAAACCTAAAATTACTTGAATTTTTCTGAAAGTGTATTGAGAGAGAATTTTACGGATTTTTAGTATAGTGACGCGAAATAATGCTGTTTAGTAAACTCAAATGAGATGAACGAGTTAAATTCTCTCTTTACTGTATTATAGCTTAGGTCTAACAAATATATTTAGGAATAACATTTTTGATGGCATCAGGGTAAAAAAGAAAAAAATAGAATGAAAACATTTATATTATTTTAATGATAAGAATGGTAAGCTGGTTAAATTTGTTAAATTTTCCAAATGAAATAATTTGGAATACAAAAAATATAGAATCCGAAGAGAAAATAGAGCGTCCGAATTTGCTTTGGATGGATCGATTTCTCTGCGTTATCAAAGAAAAATTATTCAAAAATTTATTGCAGACAATTGTAGTAATACATGCAAATTATATATTTTACACTTTCGGACTATTACTAATGCACGTTATATTTGTTGTCTCATATTTTTCCATATTTACTGATGATGACATAGAATTTTATGTCTGGAATAATAAAGATGCTTTAAAATCTTCATTTTATCTTTTTTACTTTACGCTATGCCCACTAAAATTTTGTATATACATTTCAACATTAAAATTAACTATTCTTATACATACAACATACATATATACTATATATATATATATATATATATATATATATATATATATATATGTATATGTATATATATATATATATATATATATATATATATATATATATATATATGTTAAAGTAGTTAATTTTGATGTTGAGAAATATGAGTAAGTTCTTCAAGGGCATACATCAAATAAAAGGCAAAGATTTAGAACTTCTAAATCTTTGCCTTTTATTTGATGTATGCCCTTGAAGAACTTACTCATATATATATATATATATATATATATATATATATACAGGGCCGGATTTAGAAATTTAGCGCCCCGGGGCAATGGCAAAAATGCCGCCCCATCCCTGAAATTTTACGAACTTTCGAACTATTTTTAAAGCAATCGCGCGAATAAACAATGTTACATAACCCATATAAATGTAAACAAAATTTATACTTTTTATTAAAATATTTTTAAAATATCTGATTTGATGTGCATATGTCTTATGATCACTTTTGTCCACCAAATGTCCACCAATTTTTTTTATTGGTAAATTTTTATTATTTGTAAATTTTTTTGAATGATATTAAACGCTTCTTTTCTCAACAACTAAATTATCATTTTTCGCATTTTGGCCCGTATCTTCAAAACAGTTGGACCTGCCTTGGCCAATAACTAATCAGCACGTCTCCTTAATAATAGGAATTGAATCATTTAAATCGGTTGATCCGTGTTACCGAAATCGACTTGAATAATTAAAAAATATTATATTTGTATTGATGGGGAGACGTGCTGATTAGTTTTTGGCACGAATTACAAAAAATGGTAATTGAGTTTCTATATTTCTTCTCTGAAACAGCTACGCAGCGCGATTACTTTGCAAAAAGTTCATAATTTTCAAAATAAAATTTCAAAATACAAAAAATGTGTTTTGAAAGTCAATTTTTCAATTTCATTTTTTTCCAAGTTTAAGAATCTTTATAAAATGTAATTTTCAGTACGGGATGTTTCAATAATTTGTCTTAAGGTACAATGCCATGCGTGACTAGTTTAAATTTTTTTTCAATGCTATAAGCGTGGAAGTGCAGAAATTCGTCATTTTAAGAGGGCTCGAGAACTGAAGAAAATATTTTTCTCAAACTTTCAGCTTGTTTACGGATCTTTATATTAGCCAAATTGCCAAATTTGATAACCTATTAACCAATTTGATAATTTACGTTCGGAGAGGGAGGCAAGGCAAAATAATAAATTTCAATAATCGGCTATTTCAACCCAAATTTTGCATTGCAATCGTATTATGTTTTGTTAATTATATTTCTTGAAATAAAAATGTTGTTAAAAAAAGTTGTAAGTTATATAGATTTTTTTTTCTCACTATCCAAATTTTGCCGCCCCCCAAAATTTGCCGCCCTGGGCAGTAGCCCCGATTGCCCCTACTGTAAATCCAGCACTGTATATATATATATATATATATATATATATATATATATATATTGATATTTTTTCGACGCTGAGACACATTTGAAGAAAAATAGCAGCCCATTCGTCGAAATAAAAAATAAGTTAAGAAAAAAAAATTATTTTCTTTATTGTTATACGTTTAGACACTTGATGTGTGTCATCATCACCAGGATAAAAGCATAAAACTTACACAATTTTATTTTTTATTTCGACGAATGGGCTGCTAATTTTTTTATTCAAATATATATATATATATATATATATATATATATATATATATATATATATATAATTATATATATACGTTCGTGCGTGCGTGTGTGTGTGATAGGATTATATCGTAAGTGGCAAAACATTAAAAACTATGTCGTTTGCGTAGCAATGTCGTTTGTATCCAGCAATGTCGGTTACCATAGATAGATAAATCAAGATAATTAATTCGATTTTGTCGAAAAGTTAAATGTAAATGTATGTAAATGAAACGTATAATGTGTGCGTGCGCTATGCGTGTGGTGTGGTTCGCGTGTATCAAAGAAGTTTTCCACGAAATGCTTGTCACTATCTGAGCTTTTATATTTGTCCGCATTGCAATATGCTCACATGAAATTAACATAAACCTGCCGACTCACACCGGCGGGTCTTCTGATAGCTCATACAGGAATTAAATGCGAGGACGTGGGGAAGCGGAGACCTGGGGACTTGGGGACGGGTAGAATCTATCCACACTTAGCGCAGAATTTTACAACTGATTCGCAACGTCCTTCATCCTAAATTGCTTGCATATACATGAAACGAGACGATTTTGTCGTTGTCCCATTCTTAAATTTTATAAAGAAAAACATCCATCAGATAATTGCGTTTTCCGGCACATTTTTATCGGTAAATTCAGTCATTTCAGATGTTGTTCTTTAAATTGCATTTAAGCTTTTGTGTGTAAGGGACATAGTATCATGACTGAATGATGTTAAACATTGAGATACTATAAAGAAAGTAAATTTTCATAATATTTATATATTATTTAATTTTTAATATGTCCTTTACATAAATACTTTGTTTATCTAACCCACCTCGTTTTTCTAGTAAATTCTCTTAATGTATGAATTTCCATTTTCAAGAAATAATTTACCAGAACATTGTGAATAGAATATTTTTTATACATTAATTATTTAATAAATCTATTACTAATCATCTAACTTATAAAATCTTTAATTTCGTCAAATGATAATCCTGATTGTGAGTCCACCATGTCCACTAACCTCGAACGTGGTAAGGTAAATTATAAAAGTAGATTTTTTTAAGTAGATATTAGCTTTTTATTTAAAAATAATTATGGGATATTGAAAGATTTTGTTAGCTGTTTCGATACTGCTGTATGACAAATATATCACACTGTTTTTCTTAAATGTGTTAAAGAGCGTGTCAGCTTAAAAATAGTACTTAGCACTCCAATAAAATATATTTTATGCTATTCTATTCATTTTTCTTATGTAAACTGCAGAATGCTGTCGCTGAATAATCGCAAGGTATGGCGTTGAAAAGTAGATATCTATGTTTCGAGCTTTAAGAATTAAAGGTAAATCGACGTTTTTGGATTCTAAGAATTTTGACGACATTAGAATCGTCCCGTCCCGTGCGATGTGTCGGCGCCCCTTAGCGGTCTTATGAGCTTGTTCAACCGTAAAATTAAACAGATTCGATAAGGCAACGTGTCACTGTATGGGTAAAGCTAAACAAATTTGAAATTATTATGACGTGAAGTGACATGTAGGTACGGCTTCTTAAATCATCAATGTTAAACTTTGTTGAAAAAAGCGGGAAATGAGAATCTGCAGCATACTCGATCAGCAAATTAGATAAAAATAAAAATCATTTTCGTGGCGGAATTCACATGTGTCTGCGCGCACATATATCCCGATATCGCGCGTATAAATCAAAATATATACGAGAACGTATGTATTTCTCCCCCCACTGAAGTTGTGTTAAGAGTAATATTTTTGAAGAATCATTCATAGTAAAAATTCATGTTTAAATTGAATGTTTCAAATGATATTAGAAACATGGAAATAAGCACAATAAATGAACTTCGTGTCGAATTCGTACAGTGCCGTTCTAAAAATTTGTTTTTCTTTGATATTAGCAGTAAAATATAGTATTTTTACTTATATATATATATATATATATATACATATATAAATATTATTACTAATTTTAAATAAGATATGACTCAATTACTAAAAACATATAAGTTACAAAAATCTGAGCAAAAAAAATGATAACAGCGATAAGCGATTCACACAATTCATTAATTAAATCAGTATCGGGACTCATTCGCAACGAATGAACACCGAATAATACAATTATTTTTCAGTAAAATATAAAATTATGATAGTAGTTAAATTACTACCAATTCTTCAATCGAATGTAATGTAAAGTAATTAAATACAACGTTGTTAAACATTTACAATAATCATCTTTATAATTATCATTGTCGTATGTTTGGGTCTGCATACAACTTGGCTTTGTTCAATGTACATATAATACACACCAAGCAACAAACCAGATTATACCTAACAACGGCATTAAAAAAACAAATAATAATTAGAACTAAAAAATAACTTACTGTGAGGTGGCGTCAATGTTAAAGCTGACACAGACGGAAGATGCGAAAATTGCAGCGGAGAACTGTCTTTCCTAATAGAATGTCCTAACTGTCCTCCAGTTCCGGGGCCCATGGAAGGTAAGCTGAGTGGAGGCGAGGAGAAGTCCCCTTGCTCCATACCTGGACCTGCTCCAATAGGTGGGCCGCTCTCACCATGCATCATTAAATTATGTGTGAAATTTGACGCAGACGGTGGCTGTAGCGATAAATCTAATTGTTGTTCCGCAATTTCAAATTCACTTTTCATAGATTTAGATCTCCGCACATCTTTTAAACTCATACCATGATGCATTTGTTTATAGTGCTGTTGCTTCTGTTGAATTAAATTTGGGCGGGATTTTTGTGTATCTTTGAGATCGGGCGTTTTCTTGACACACAAATCCTCAGGTTCGGTGTCATCAGTTTTCCTACAAAAATATTGTTCACCAGCTGCAGCACTGGCCGCAAGATCTTGCACTTGCTGTTGTAAATTTGCGCTGTCCGGTTGCGGGATGTCTTGGGCGCTCTCACCCGATCGCCTCCTAGGCCGAGCCTGTTTGCGTCGCGGTAATGCTGGAACAAAGTCCATCGGCCTAATCAGATCGAACAAAGGAGAACTATTCGACAACGATCGGTTGGTGGAAGGCGAGCCGGGAAACGACTCATTGTCATCTTCGTCTATTTCATCCTGGTCTATAACAGGACAATTAACATTCGCAGGTGCCCCAGCCGGATGGTCGACTAAGCCCCTTACTTGTAGAGACTCGCCTGCTTTTATCAGTGTCCGAAGTCGTTCTTGCCTAACGCTAATTTCACCGCGGTACATAAAATCGACTATGGCTTGTACTTCCCATCCGCAAAAGTCTTTTAACACTATCACCGGATGCTTGCATGGTGTTTCCGAAAATATTCGCTGGAAAAATGGCGAACAAGCGCTCAAAACAACTTTATGAGCGCGTACACTCGTTTCTGCACAAACTAACGTTACGTCTACCAATGTCTCTGCTTGGAGTAATGCACCGAAAGCACTCAATATATGATTCTGATGATTGTTCCACCTTAAAGAATAATGTTCTTCGCCTCGAGGTTCCGACTGCACCAGATCTGATTCCGCCAAAGACGTTTCCATTACGAAAGATTTCATTAATTGATCTCAATTGATTAGCATTGCATTCAATACTTGATGGTGATTCTATTTCTGAAAAGAGAATTATATCAACATTATTGCAACTGAAAAGAGATTTATAACAACTATTTTAGTTTTAAATGATAAATAGAATAAATAGAATAGATAAAAAATGTTACACATTGCAAACATATACATATGTGAATGCATGCACTTGTTCATATAAATAATCTTGAGATTTGAATAATTTGAAAATAATAAGAAAACAAGTTTTGATTTTTTGGCGAATTGAGCGACTTCAGTTTTGTAAAGTTAAAGACAAAACGAAAAATAAACGACGGCAAGAATTGTTTTGTTTACATTTTAACTTGCATGAGGGGAACGCCGAAAAGGTACCCCAACACTTGCAAGTAAATAAGGGCTCATGCACTTCGCATCAACAAAACCGCGGGAGCAGGTTAAGGGTTGAACCGCCAACACCGATAAGAACAAATATTTGCAACAACAATATATTCACATCAAATAATAAAAGTGATTTAAAATTTGGATTGTATATTATACTGCTAAGAAATTGTCCGTACAGTGTAGACCGAGCGACTGGTGCGTCTGTAAAACAGGACTAAGTAGGATCATCGTAAATACCTCGTTAAAGATACTGTTGTGAATTTGCGAGATCATAGCTGATTATCACTATGCTCTTGCAAATTTTGCTAAAATTAACATATTGGTAATGTTAGTTCCATATTTCTGGCTTGAAAATAGAAAATTGATTTCTAATTTTTTGTGCTATTTTATGGTCAATTGCATAATACATTCAACTAATAATAATCTTTAATTTGGTTTAATTATTTAGTTCCGTTTAATTGTTTCGTTTGACAGATATGTGAAAATTAAAAAATCATAAATAATAATTAATTAGGATAAAATTCACAGGAAAATTGCGAATGCCAAAGAAATACAAAATAAAGTTGTTCTTCTCATTACTGTAGTTTATTTAGAAAATAGTTTTCAAAAATAAATAGATTCAGACTAGGCAAATTTCATATTTAGTCAAAAATAGATTAATTTGTTATAGTAAAATATCCATTAATCTCTGTAATTATAAACAGTTAACTCAAAATGATTCTATATCATGGACCTGCCTTTGATGTGTGTGTGTGGCTAGAGGGGATTTAGCAATATTAATCACTTTCAAGCTGGTATTACGCAGATGGCTTGCTAAAACGTAGATATAATGTCATATAAAGATGAGAGATTTATGTGCGAGATATGTTATGCACGAACTGGACGCCGCCATGCGGAACTTAGCGAAGGATGGAGGAAACACTGGAAAATATACGAATGCACGAAAAATACTTTTAAAATTCTTTGATGAAAATTTTACGTAGAGACACTTGAGACCGATGTGACACACGATCGTTTTCTAGATGTTAATACAATAATTTCATCATAAATGCTCTATAATAATTTTGCTACACAATTTGTTCCTGTTATTATTTTTTTAAGTTTTAATTAATTATTAATTAACTAATATTAGTGAGTCGTTCTTGATGCTAGCAAAAAGAGTCCCTTCCATAAGGTTAGTAATATAAACAAATAGTTTAGATGTCGGGAAAAACTAAAAGAAAGTGTTGCTTCAGCTTATAAAATATTGGATATTTTAGTAAAGAATAGTAAATTGAATTATTTTCATGTTGGTTTTTGGTACACGAGTTAGATTTTCGTCAAAAAATCAATGAAATGTTTTTAAATTCACTTCTAACAAAAGTAGAGTATAAGAATCAAATTTCATAATATTTGACAAATTGTAAAAAACTATATTAAGTGACTTCTTAATAATGATAATTACAAATTTACACCATATTATAGCAAATGCTCCATGTTTTTGCTCAGATTGTCTGATAAATGTAGTAGCAATAACATCAAACAATATTCATATTATATCCTCGGAATTATTAGATACGTGTTTAGAGCCGTATTATGAAGGATGCTGATGAACCAAAATTGTAATCCCTGTCTGAACCACACGAATTGCAGAGATGCACTACTTCCAATAAAACATGTCCCGATACGTATTACTTTTACTAAGTTAATAAAAGTTATATCCCTTCATCCAGTGACAATATATGATAGGCAAATGTTTTTAAACAGTTATATATAAATAAATCTAAAAATTAAATTTTTATAAATTGTGTTGGTTGGTAGAACTTGTATAAGTGGCATTATGTTAAGTATTCATGAGCTCAATATGTATGATTATTTTTTCCATTTAAGAAAGTCTGCATGAACGAATATCATATAAAGATTGTGAAATAAATAAAATAACCAAGAACTAAAATATAACTTTTTCCAACACGCATTTTTGTAGCGCTTTCAAAGCAATTATAAAACCAAAGTATATTTTGTGCAAATTCCATAACATGTAATTTGCAAATATAAATAAGACTTGTATGCAACAAAAGCAATATATGTTTCGCAAATTTTTGTAGTGGGTGTGAAAAGCCCCTTAGGAAGTATAATTTTTAAAATTCACCTCACGTGGCGTCCCATCGTACATTACGCTACATGCGACGCTAACTTAGCACATCGCTTAGCGCTGCCCCTGGGTATAGGAAATTTGACAAATTGGCTAAACTGATAGAAAAATATTAAACGGATTAGAAAAACAAATTATAATAGAGCATAAATTTTCATATCACAAAAAATTATAACACTATATTATCGAAACGATAAAAGTTTTAAAACGAAACTCAAGCTCGACTTAAAAAGACATGAGCTTGAAATAATTTTTATTATTGATCCCGACTGACTTATGGATACAAAAATGAATGAATAAATATAATTAATCGGAAACAATCGGATTTGACTTAGTCGAATTTAATGATAAAAATGTAATATGAATATTTAATTTATTTTTATCTAAACATAGGGTAGGGTCTGACTTCTAGTAATTATACTGTGAAAACCAATATTACTACATCAAAACAAATAACACATACCAAACAAACAGCTATCTAACTATGTTCAGTAAAACTCTCAGTTAATTCATCATTGTAACCCTATACTTTTGCAATTTTTCAAAAATTTGCCACCTGATTCTTTTTATCCCATATACGGGTAAAAAGGAACAGGGGGCAAAAAGATTCACCATCCTATTTTTAATTTTAAAGAGGTTTTATAGAACAATATCTATATTATTTAATCAATACGATGCAATGTAATTATTAGGTTGAGCAACAAAATTAAAATTCATAATCTAAATATGTACTTTTAAAGAATCTTGCATTTGTAAGTATTTCTTATTTATTTATTTTTACTAGATTTATTGTTTATTGGAATACAATTATTACAAATAAAGTAAATACAACTTCTGTTTGAAATAGATATTTTATAGGCACATTTTTAATAAAAACGGCATACCATCTTTGTTGTAACTTTGTCATATAAATCCATAATCAGAGTTGGAATAACTATCAATTTAATTTATCTTTTATAAAATTGCTTAGTTTTAAATTTCTTATTCTTCTGACTTCTTATACTTGTTTATCGATGCTTCTGACCTGGCCAGAATAAAGCTTTAGGTGATCCTTTTTACCCCATTAAAAAACTATTGTATTTAACTTAAAAATAACAATATATTTGATAAAACAATTAGATATACTTAAGATTAAATATACTTTAAATAATTATTTAGAAATCGTAAATTAAACAACAAGAAAAAAAATGTTGTTACAAAATTGACAATGTGGCCGTTTATCTCGTGGTAGCGATGTCGCCCGATTTAAGGCCATTGCTGATTTTATGTCTTTTGCCCTCAACTTTCAAATATTGTTGTTAAAAAATTCCTAATTATATTTGTTTTTGAGATAATGGTGGTGGGCATTTGAACCCGTGAATCTTTAAGCATTGCTTTTATTTTGAGATTATTTCATAATTATTAGTTTAATTAATAATGAAAATTATTTTCTATTAGTTTTAAATAATATTCAGAATATACATATGTATATATATATATATATATATATATATATATATATATATATATATATATGCATATTCAGATCATTTGGAAGTGAAAAATAATTTTCATTGTTAATTAAACTAATTAATTATGAAATAATCTAAAATTAAGAAAATTTTAGGAGAAAGCAGTTAAATAAAAAAATTAATACTATATAGTTTAAAAATACGTATTATATATATATATATATATATATCATATATATACATACTCACGAGGGAGTTTGTGTATGTTCTGCGTGGGTTGGGGTATGAGAGTGGAGGTGCGTTAAGATATTATTTTGGAGTGTTCTTTACAAAAGGCAAGTTTATGATGAAGAGATAATTTTAAGGGAATGTTGTAATTGTCGTAGGCTGTGCGTTTTTTTAGTCATATAACTTTTGTTTTTTTAATTTGTCAATAAACTATTATGAACGCTTTTATAATATCGCCTTTATTCAAATTCTTAATTTTTGCATATATATATATATATATATATATATAATATTTCCGCATTCCGGAAAACCGAAAATATACAAAGTGATTTTAATTTGGTTTTTCCCACTTTAAAAATATGTTTTCGATTATTGTTGCAAACATGGGAAGCCTATGAATGCCTATAGCTATAGCACTGTACTTTATTTTATTGACACTATATTGTTAAATGTTATCAGGCTTAAAATAGTGATAAAATTGAAATAAAATATGAATTAAACATTTTTTTTAAATTATTATCTGAAAATAAGACATTTTAGCTTGATGTAACAATTAATTACATTTTAAATTAGTTATTTAGGATAAAAATTATATAGTTATTGTATGTAATAAAATCGTATTCAAATTTATATATATATATATATATATATATATATATATATGTATATATATAATATATATTATTGTACGAATTAGTGTGTGTATGTATGGCCCGGAGCGGCACAGCCGCCTTTCGCGCTTCCTACTAATATCTTTTGAAATCGTTAATTAAGCTGACAAAAAGCGACATTCATATTTTTTTGACGAATGTAATTTTCTAAAAACGGACATAAGAAAAACATTGCTTATATACACA